TGTTGGGCATGAAAAGCTGGTTGGTCTAGGCTTCAGGTTCTCTCTTTTGGTTTTATATTGGAGAGGTCAGATGGCTTTTGTCCTGTTGCTCATGAGTTCCCACAGAGAACAAATCGAATGAGGATCCAGAAAAATATTTTATAACCCATAAATCCTCTAAAAACTACATTCACTCAGAATGTAAAAGAGGGCCACAATACCTAAGTATTAATGCTGAATATCAAATACATATAGATATAGATCTATCTATCTATCTCTCTATCTATCTATCTATCTATCTATCTATGTATCTATCATCTATCTATCTATCTTATAGTAACTCAATTTGATGAATTTCAAAGTCCTGGAATTTTCAATGGTCCAATGTTAAACTTGTTCTGTATCCTATTAGCTGAATTACTAGATAAGGACTAATTGAATGCCTGAATGAGAAACAGTGAGATGGTCAGAGACTATAGGTCCTCTGGGCTAAAAATGAATGTGCAGGTAAAAATTAACAACACAGGTTTACCACCATGTTGAAAACACCTTTCATCTTTGAAAAAACAAGAGGAGGAGGGGTTATGAGGAAAAATATCATTGAAAACAAATAGAATACCAAAACATCTATCCAAAATTTTCTGCCATATCCTAACCAAGTCAGTCTCCAGAACCTAAGTAGGTATCAGCAAAATGAAATTTCCCAAAACAGAACACATTAAAAACAAAAACAAAAATGGAGCATGTATTATGAGCTGAATGCAAGAAGGTAGGCTGTGAGTCACAGTAAAAGGGTTCTAACAACAGCCTCGACTTCATGAACACAGACATTAAGGAAGTACAGCATTGATTAACAACTGTTCTCACATGAGAGGTTAGATGCAGTGGGGGAAGGGCAGTATAAGACATTGACTACAATCACAAAAAGTTTTATAAAAGAACCCTCATTGATTTAAAAGAAGAGAGAGAATATCATTTATTTGTATTGTTATCAACTAAATAATTTGCCTGCCTCCCACCTCTTTGCTTGGATAACTTTAATTTACAACCTGACAGAATGAATGAGAATTCTACTAATTCACAGGCACTCAAAGTTTTTAACTACTGACATAATATGAAGTATTCTACAGATATAAGGAGATAATATTAACTATTATATTACAAGCTCAATATTTAAAATTCAAAACACCTAAGAAATAACTGGCAGGCAAGTCTATTAAAGTAGATGATATTAACACATAGGTTTATACTTAACCCTCTCTAAAAACTCATCCTAAACAACAAGAAAGACAGAAATGGATAAATCCATACAGACAATCAGGCAACATGAGGTAAGAGACAATAGTAAAAGTAGTCAGGATTCAGGTGCACCCTGTCCTGCTCTTAGTGCTTTCTACCTCTTTTAATCAGCTAAGTATGTTAGAGGTTTGGGGACTGCTAAGGGTTGGCTCTCGTACTGTTCTATTCTTACCTACTTTGCAAGGATCTCAAAAATAAGTTGATTTGATGCTTCCTATTCAGCAGAATCAGCGCTGGCTCTGAGATATATCACCTGCTGGCTTTATCACCCCTCTGCTGGGGAGATTTTCTATGATGCCCAGACATTTCCCCCACAGCCATCCTGAAATTACTGCTTCAGTGAATCAGTTTCAAGAGGATATGCCATTCTTAAGAGATTAGGGACCACAGCCTTGAAAGCTTAAGAATTCAAACATGAATCTACCAGAAAATACATACTTCTTTTCCAATATCTAAGGACAATGAATAAAACTCTAAGCTAATATGAAGAAACATCACACTTTTCTTAAGAAGAAAGTAGAAATAAAGAGCTTGGTACACTCATAAAAATGAACATATTTCATAGAAGCCAGGCATAAGATTTATAGGTTTTGTAAAATTCTATATCCATTCAATTTCTTGTATTTTAGCTAACATTATGACCCAGATGGGAAATGTCTGAGCTCCCATGAAAAAGTAATTCCAGATCAGTTTTTAATCTACTTTTAAATTCACCACTTTTCAGTGGTACATTCTATGCCTTGTCTTATAAACCCAATTTATTGAAACCATCCATTCCACTTATAAATATCACATAACATACCAGGTGTGGAATGTCTGCCTTGTTATTTTATTAAAATAGAAAGTATTCAGTTACATATACCTATGTATATATGTATATGTACTATGTATATATGCATATGTAAACACTCAATCAAATACCTATACAGTATTTCAATAAGCCAAATCAACAAACTTAAAACTATTTTAAAAAAATCATCAACTGAAGGGCCAGTGAAATGGTTCATTGGGTGAAGGCATTTGCTGCCAACCCTGACAACCTGAGTTCCATCTCCAGAACTCCCACAGTAGAAAGAGAGAACCAACTCCTGCCACATTATCCTCTGATTTCTACCCCTTTTAATACATGTACACACATGCACACATACACACATAAACACACACATGAACCCACACATACAAACAATAAAAATTTTAGTCATCAATTGATTAGTTCAAATACTGTATGACAATGAATACTACCTGTAGCCTAATTAATAAGTTACCTAACTGCATGCTTACAACTTGAATGCTACAAATTAATTAGTATATTCTAAATGAGAACAAGAAAAACTCCTGTATTTTGACAATTCTTATACATAACCTATACCAAACTTTGTGCTGATATACTGAAATATGAGTATAAAGTGTGTGAAAATATCTGACTTTTTTTTTGGGGGGGGGGACAGAATTTTACTATGTAGCCCTAGCTGGCTTTGTACTTGCTATGTAGACCAGACTGGCCTAGAACTCACAGTGATCACCTGCTTCTTCCTCCATTTCCTAAGTGCTAGAATTAAAAGAGTACACCATGATACTTTTATATTTTTTTTAAAAAAAGGCATCACAAATTTGTGTTCTAGTAACATCAAGAGATGTGAAGCTCTGTAAGAAATCAGTTATTTTATTTTAAAATTGCATGTATAATTCCATTTAGGCCAGCTTCCAAAAGAATAAACAATATAAATTTTATATATGAAATCTTGAACTTTCAATGTGAATATTCTGAAAGATAAGACTATTGATTTAAAATTTCCCTAAAAATGAATGGTGACCTAGGATGTACACTGGGACTGCTCTACATATCTCATGAATACTTTTACATGTATGCATGTGTACACTTTGTTTTGGTTAAGGACACAATAAAATGAGTATAAAAGCTACTGCTTGAAATCATCAAAAGCAAAACATGTAAGTACTGTTCAGCATGCGACTCTGCAGAATTTAATTTCTTACTATTTTAGTTAAAAAAAACAAAGAACATAATAGTTTTACTAAAAAATACAAGCTTTACTCCAGAAAATAAAAGCTGGAAGGAAAAAAAATTAAAAAACATTTGTCAAGAGTATTTTCATAGTCCTATTCTCAAATGGTAGAAATTATACTCAGGCAAATACTGGCATTTATTACACCTAATCCACTGAACATCAGTGGATGTTTAGCACAGATTACCTTAAAGTAGCATTTAGTCAACTTACATTAATTTATAACTGGGCAAAACTCACAGGCTATTTTATGGAAAGTGCTGAATATCTAAGGTAACTTAATGAATACTATACAGCATACTGAAAATCAGAAACAGAATGGTTATATGTGTATGCTTTCATAACACTGTAAAGATGAACCATAATAATATAACCACCCTGCAGGATGAAGATATTGTAAAGAGACACTTATGCCCCTCGCTTTGGCTATCAGCGTTTTCAAAGAATGGAATCTAAGAAATTGGAATTTCACCAAAAATCTATGGTATGGTAAAAAGACTGAAGCTTGGTCCTGGCCATGAGGAACTTGTTTTTCCAAAAAGAGACTTCTCAAAGTTCTGACAACTTGTCAGGGCACAATAAAGCTTATACATTGATGGGTCATACAACAACTTGACCAGGACTGCTTAGTTATGTACACCTCTTACAATCTACTTAAACCTAAAACCAGTGCCAAAACCCTAAAGATTAACTTGAAGAGTATGTTTCCTGGACCTCTTTATTTGTTCCTTTTCCCGATGTGACCACATCAAATAAAATCTCCTTTTCTGCTTTTCACTATTACTTATCTATTTAATTGGTTTATTGAGACAAGTGGACGAATCTACTTTGTTAGGGCTGCCAGGGCCCAGGCTCTAACCCTAACAACTCGGTAACACTAAGTTGAGCACTATCATTTGTAGGACTAGAACTGAATCACACTAATTCCATGTTTGACAGTTTAGCAAACTATCAAACTGTTTTACACAGAGTGTGTATATTCTAGTTTCTTTCTCCATTGCTGTGACAAAACACTATGACCAATACCAACTTGGGGAGGAAAGGGTTTATTCAGCTTATATCTCTCGGGTAATAGGGAGCCTAAGGTAGGAACTCGGCAGGACCCTGGAGGCGGAGGCTGAAGCACAAGGCCATGAAGGCTTACTGGCTTGCTCCCCTGGACCCTGCACAACCTGCATTCTTATACAACATAGGCCCACCTGGGCACCACCCACAGTGGGCTGGGCCCTCCCACATCACTCAATAATTAAGAAGATGCCCCACAGACACGGCCACAGGTCAGTCCAATGGAGACAACTCCCCAATTGATGCTCCCTCTACCCAGGTGTGTCAAGTTGAGACTAAAGTTATCCAGCACAGTATATCATTTTCAATTCAATTTCTCCACATATTCACCAGCACTTAGAATTTTCACAGCATAACTGTGAAAAGAAAGTTCCAGATGATTTGACATAAATTGTCCAAATTCAAGATTTAAGTCCTACTATATCAACATTCCATTCCATTAACCATTAATCCTTAAGACATCAGATAAAGATAGCAGACATTTAATGCAAAAGAAATATTTTAAAGATTTAATGCATACCTCACTTGGGTAATGAACTAGTAAGTGTTATAAATATATTTAAGGAAACAAATGAAAGAATAAAGAATAATTCAGATATTTAACATGTCAACTTTCTTAGGATAACTACGAACCGAGTTTTCTTCTTCCTCTTCTAGCTCTCGCTGCTGCTCTTCATGTCTTTTAGCTTTGATTTCCATGGCTTCTGTGATCAGATCTCTTAATATTGACACAGGTTTTGCATTCTTGATAAAATGATGCTAAAAAATAAGGTTCAATGGTATAAATTTACAAAGGTTTTTCTGGATTATAAACAGGAAATATTAAATCACCAATAAATGCTAACCAGGCTCAGTGGTATCAATAATTACTTTATTTACAATTAAGTATGTTATTAAAAGAACTACTTTGTCTGTTTGAGAAAAATTCATTTTTAGTTCACTTTTTAGAAATAAAGAGTACACACACACACATCCACACACACGCACGCACGCACAAATATAACCCTAATAATAAAGCTATATTGACCTTAAAGACAATTATCCAAAGAAAGTGTGTATTTGGTGGTAAAAATATTTTAGCATTTATAACAGACTAGTGGTTACATATAAAAATAAACTTAGCATTGTTATAGAATTTAATTAATCTTAATACTCTGAATGCCGAAAATTAGTGGCTAAATGAAGGGCAACTAATGTGTCACTTCTTTAACATAATCTCTACTTTGTTGTGTCCTGAATAATTTAAAATAATCTCCAATGGACACAGAAGAATATTTTCATAAAATGATTACTGCCTCCTTAGTCTCTATTTAAAAAAAAAAACCACTTATGGCTTCTTTCTTTACTTCACTGATATAGCTAGGAAATAGTCAAGTATTTATTATTTTACACATTGTGTACTCTAATAAGTAAAAAGGAAATCCTCAGAATAGACTTGAATTGTTTAATTTTTATTTTAAATTACATTTCTAAGTGTGTGTGTGTGTGTATATGTGTTGCATGTGCATGTGCACGAGCATGTAGAAGTCAGAGAACAACTTAAAAGTTAATTCTGTCTTCTACCAAGTGGGTCCCAGGATTCAAACTCAGGTCATCAGGCCTGGTAGCAAGTACCTTTACCACCTAAGCCATCTTTGCTGACCCAAAATAGACTTAAATTTTTCACTAAGACAGAGGAGCATGAGAGGGGAAAATGTAATTTGGCACAGATATAATACAATCTAGTTTCCAAAAGTAATTTTCACAATTTCTATGTCTAAATATAATCAGAGAAAAGCAACACTGTTTTTAATAGAGATCAATATAACATAAAAACGTATTCAAGAGCAGGGGCAATGACAAGTATTGAGGGTCTATGGGTACTCTGGTCAACAGTAAGACCCTATTTCTGAGGATACTACATATATGAGCTGTAGAAAAAAAAAACAAGGAGAAATTGAGCTGGTACTGATTTTGAAGCTTCATCTCTGCTGGCTAGCTTTAATAGAGCTGGAAAGGGACCTCATTAAACTGAAAAGCTTCTGTACATCAAAGGAGACAACCAAGGAAGCAAACAGAAAACCCAGAAAATGGGAGAAAATCTTCACCAGTGACACATCTGGTTTAATAACCAGAATTTATAATGAACTCAAAAAACAGAGAACCAAGACAAGAAGCAGCAACCCAATTAAAAGACGGACTAAGGAGCTGAACAGAGAGTTCTCAAAAGAAGTAAAGATGGCTGTGAAACATCTTAAAAGATGTTCAACATCACTAATAATTAGGGAAATGAAAATTAAAACCACTTTAAGATTACATCTTACCCCAGTCAGACTGGCTAAGATCAAGAGAACAAATGATACCAAATGTTGGAGAGGATGTGGGGAAAGGGGAACACTCA